CTGTAAGGTAAAGTGAAAACCATCTTTACGAACCACAATCGCTGTGAAAAATGCACATTCACTTCGCAATTTTATAAAACATGCAATGGCGAATGAGATAATAAAACGTAATTATGAGGTCACTGCCACTTTAAAGCGTGTTGGCGAACGTAGATAAATACGCTGCTAATTAAACGGGAAACATTTAAAGCGGGAGGGTCTTCACCTGCGCACGCGCGGGAATTGAGTCCCAAGCGACGATAACAACACACGCCAAAAACGCAAATGTTCATGGGTAGACGCTAGTTTGTAAACAATGACACGCTATGACAGACGACGAGTCCCCGCTTTAAAGTGGGAACATTATGTAAAACATCTGCGTAAAACGATTTGGCACATGTAATCAAAATAACGGTCCGTATATATATATGGACTTCAAACGGAAGAATTGATTTATGTGTAGGGTCCAATTCGCCGCTACTCGGATTGAGATGCAAACAATTTCATTACATATGCACTACTATAGTTCACGAAGAATACGAGAAGTGTACTCACCCACGTACACTGAGCATAGGTCACCTGACCAAGATGTTGGACATGCGCAGCTGAAACCTGTTGACGTCAGCGAACACACGCCGCCATTCTCACATGGATTTGGACTGCAGAAACCTGTAGTGTAGTAAAGTTTAACAATTGCGAATTTGATAATTCTGATAAATAATTTGACAATTGGGTCAAGCACAAAAGTTATTTCAATGATATGTTTCAAGAAGACATTCACTTGCGATTGACGTTTATTAATATCAAGATGTTTACGGGCGCTTTAATTGTATAGTAAAACACCTGTCGTAGTATACCAATATTTCGCCTGATGGCTAAATTCTATGTCGTACACAATAACCTACTAGTACGCGTCGTATTGCCTAACACGGATGGGGAGTAATCCCCATGGCAACTAGTTTTCATTTATAAAGCTATAATTCAAAAATGCTACGAACAAGGAAGATAATTCCAAAATGTTCACGTGCCAGCGATCTCTTTAATTGTTGTTATGTTAGCTATTATATAGTGATTATGACTAGTCTATGTTGAAGGCACTCGGTTGCGCTTCCCTAATAATTACGATGCCTCCTTATATTGCAGTCGGCATTCCATTCACGTCCTACTGCTACCAACATTTACGCAGTAATTTCCTGCCAATTACATGAACACATTGGTAACATATTTGTTACGGTACTGAACGTTCACTCTCATTTCCTGACAGTCGTTGATGATCAAAGGACGCTGTAATTAAACTTGTCGTGATATTTTATTTGTTTACGTCACAACATTTTTTTTAATTCCACTAAACGTTTAAGTGACTCGAAAAAGTCATACTGCAATTTCCGCAATACGTCATTTGTTTTAGTGAATCGAATTGATGGTCGTCTTTGTAAGGTCACGTGTACTCCGTTATATAAATTTCAAATGCGTTTTTGTTTTGTTTTTTATTATTTTTTATTATTTTTTGTGCCAGGCGACAGTTCCGGACATTCAGTGTCACTGTTGTCTCCCCTGAATGTTTTTGTATGTGCAAATTGCAAGTGCTAGTGACGACACCTAGTGCATTTTGCCACAGGAGTCATATTCATGTTTGGGACTGCATGACAGGGCTGTGTGGCCATCTCTCTGTCAAATGGCAATTTGTAATACGCTATCCTGGCGTCAACCAGGCCCGGTCGAACACAAGCACCTGCGGACCTTAACCAAGGTTCCCCAAAGTCGTTAGTGAATGAATCTCGGCCAGTGGAATTGGCCTTCCCATTGAGTCTGTGGTACACTCACCCAGGGTAGGGGTCGACCCTTTTGATGTTCAGCCTAAGGTAGGATTTGAACTTGGGTCTACCGATCATGAGTCTGATGCGACAACCACTTTGCTACCAGTGATCAAATTTCCAAATTTTAGTATTGTTCTTTATCAAATGTAATTAATCTTCATAATCAAGTTATGCCGATACATTAGGTATTTTTTTGTAGTTTATTAAATGTCTCACGAATACCATAGATTAATATTAATCCACGGCGTTCCATTAAATCCTAACGGATCTATTGTTTCTGTGACCATTATTTATACCAAGTATAATTCCTATAGCTATATGTTGTTTTCCGCAGTGAACAGAACAATTAATTTAAAAACGAGAAGACCTAAATGTATTGGTGTTCGCAAGTCGTATTTGAAACCCAAACGAGTAGCGCTTGTCATTTAAACAATGTAATAAGTGTGTCTTCGAAACGATGTATAAAACTATTTGTTTGCAAGAATAAACTACAGGCCTTCACATATATGCATACTAACACGTTTAGAAGAAGTTATGCAAATTTTGTCATACACCACAATAGCTAAATATTAGCATAAAATAAACATACGGTAACCTGTCACCCATCAGGTTCAGTTGTAAATGTTTTAAAACAAGAAATCATATATTACCTCCTGAGTAAGTGCAGTGATAATTTTATGTTGGAATGTGATAAATGAATAAAC